GTTGTTAAGTCACCTAATGACGCTGCTATTGGTGTAGCAATATTATCTGGATTGACTTTACATTTATGAGAACTGACAATTACAATAATCATTATTCCACCTTAAGAAAAAAAAAGAAACAATTTATGGATATGTAGAATAGATAAACTTATATTTATTATCATTATCAATGATATTAAATACAAACTTTGTAATTATAATATCAATAGAAAATTAATTCATTTGAAAGAAATTATCAAGTTTATAAGAAAATTTTCAGAGGAAAAAAAACTTTTATATTTGATAGATATTAAAATTTTCAATGTATGATTCAAATCATTTTATGAATATTATTAAATTAAGATGAAACGTATAGACAGAATTAGTAGAAAATATTTCTGAATTCATTTTCATTTTTCTCAAGATAACAATGAAATTAATAGGAACAGTATTAGGTACTCAAAAATTAAAATGACAATGGACCATATATCGACATGTCTATTACAAACCTAATGCTAATGAAGCAATGGATGCTGTTGAAACACTACTACTACATAAAACAAGTGCATGTCGAATATTAAAATGTCCTTGTGGTACCCAACCCATAGCAAGTGATACAATAGCGGCCAAAAAACCAACAATAATAGCTTGTAATTGTGTTAAAACTATATTTCCAAAAATCATACTTCGAAGTGCAGCTTTTTTATCCATATTTCCAATATTAGCCTAAATAATGAAAATTTTTTCTTTTCAATAGTCTTGTGTGGAACTCACATATTCAACGAAGAAAAATAGTGAGTGTAAGTTATAAGACGAGGTTTTTAGGCTTCCGTCTCATAGCAACTTATAGTAAAGCGTGATAATTCAGGTATAGATTAATGCTTTTAATATTTCAGATTACAAAAACTGTGGATTCATGTTTTTGTGAACTCAAAACCGTATCTGAGAAGAGCTAACCTTTGGAGTCGAAACCTGTCGTATCTCGAACGGAATTTTTTCTACCAATATTTGGCACACTCTGTAGATATGAATCAGTGAAGGATCAAGGTTTTGAGACTACTCTCAGACAGAAAAAAAAAGTCAACATACAGTTATTTCTTATTGTTTGATTTTCTCGCTACTCGATATATAATAAAATAAAGGTTTTCAATTAGTTCAAACAAACATTATGGTTAACAAAAATTGTCAAATAAACAGTAACATAAAAAATCATCAACTGTGTAAAATAGTTTTAGTTGAATTTCTGTGTACGATACCAAGCAAGAATATGCTCTATGCAATCAATGTAGGGAGTGACAGAGTCAAACCCGAAAGGGTCTATGGCTTTCTATTGCTGATAGTCAGAAAAAATACTGGGAAAAGCGCTCATTATAGATTAAAACAATCGTAGGCACAGATCAATAGTAAGGTTTTCATAGCAAACTGAAACGACAAACACTAGCATCCTTTTCTATAGCTCCTTAGCAATGAAAAAAATGCACTAACAACAAGGTTTAGATGATTCGAGAATATTTCAAAGCTTTTCTGAAATTTAGATCAATGAAATACGTTTTTGCGTGGCGTCATTTCTGCTTTTTTATGTTGCCGATACGCGATTATATGATAGATATCAAAGATTATGACTAGTGATGCTTCAATTCGTCACAATCGACAGTATAGCCAACAATAAAAATATGAACTGATGGAGAAAAAAACATTCTGTTCAACGTCATGAAATAAATAAGACAGATCATTTATCTACCGGTCGATTATTCTTGAAAAGAAACCTTCATTTGTTAGAAATCTTTTACTTAACACACACATTGTATATAGTATAATGAAGCTAAAAAAAGACATGTGAGTTCCACATATTTGCTCTAAGGAGCTGTGTTAACAAGCTTTTTTTAATTAATTAAAAATAAACATACTTGTGTAGATAGACGTGACGCTAATGTCATTTCTAAATTTCCTTTTAAACCAAGTAAAGCTGGAACAAGTATATAAATTTCTGTTATTTCTTTAAATACACTTAATTCCTAAATATAAATATAAATACATCAGTAATTTTGAACAATCACAATTATGAAAATAAAACAATTTTCAAATACAACAAATGATCAATTTCTCTTCTTTTTTGTTTTTAGCACATTTAGCAATCAAGAGTTTGTGAAAGCTATCTTTAACATATCGATACCATCACTTGAATAGTTTATTTAACATACACAATCTTATAAATTATTTGAGCAATAAAAAAAAAAACAAACACAAAGAAGCACTTGACGATTTTCAAAAATCGATTGTCTACAAGTTAGTCAATTGAGTTCGCAAAAAGATTCAAAATAAATATTTCGATGTCACATTGAAAATACTGATTTATGCAGATAAAACTATACAGAATAGTTTGTGCTCTAGTGAGCATCATAATTAATATCTATGTTGCTCTATCTACAATCAATTTCTTCTAAATATTTTTTTCAATCATCTTTGATTCAAAAATATTGATTATCTTAATTGCTACACTGAACTAAATATTTAATTGCTTTTTGATCGATCGTATTTGTTAAATCAATAGTTGATATATTTTGAAGTGCAATAGCAAAAAAAAACAAGACATATCTTTGAATATATGATTGTATGTTATAATAATAACTTTTGATATGTTTGGCGCTAGCTGATCATCTTTGCCTTTTCATTCTATTGATAAGTAGCTTTAGAACATTCTTGATATAATACTGATGATAAGAGGTTTGCTCTCATTCTCTTATCTATCTCTTTTTTGTAAAGAATGTTTGACTATTGACTTATGAAACATTATTATCAAACACATTCACTTAAGTAAATTATGATTGATGAAGATTTTTTTGTTCTTTATGCTTGGCATTCGAAAATGTGCACTTATGTATGTGTGATAAATCTCGAGTCTAAAACATATTATCACTATAAATATTTTCTATCTCACTTTAGTCGGTCATGTTCAAGAAAATCTTCAAACAATATTTTTAACAAATAGAATATGCACGAGTAAGCATTGTTACTGGCTTGAATGCTTACTGAAGTAAAAAGTTGACTAACTGTATCCTATGGCATTTTATCGAGGAAAAAAAAGAAGGACAGAAAAATTAAGTTTATTCTACGTATCAAAGATGTTTTTTCGATGGTATACAAAAAATTTAAGCTTTACAATTTTAATCATTAAAATAAAATGAATTTTACTAATAATTCATGTAAATCTTTCAGAACATTATCAATATATCAAAAATAGAACCTGATCAGATTAGTTTATATAGTGAAAGTTTAGTTTATAGTGGACTGAGATAAATAACTAATTTATAACAATGAAATATTGATACATTGAATTAGATGTCATCACTTAGTTCATTATCTTTCTTTCATATTTAAACGTATATGAATTTGTTTTTTGATAAAAAATAATTTAATTTTGAGAATTTCTTGACTTATTTCTCAGATTAAATATTTTTAAATAAATGGACTTGATCTCAGTTGAGCACACATTATTCAGAGAGTTTTTTTTTTTGGTTCGACACTCAACTTATTCGTCTACTAAGAGTCACTAATTTAAAATTCATGGCAAAAAACGACGAGACGACTAATACCGACCACCATAAACGTTGATTTATATGTCAATAGACATCATATATCACCTTTCGCTATGTTAATTGTTTAATTTTTCAGTGCTAAAGAAGTGCAAGATCAAATCATTCTAGAATTTATTCGTCGAATCTTTTAATATGAGTTTTTTAATTTATTTACTGAACCACTAGCACTTTTATAAGACATCTCTCTTGAACTATGTTCTGATTCATATGACAATATGCTTAAAACCATAAAATACTTTATTACAAACTTCAGTTTCGATTCTGGAAAATTTATTTCTCATAGTCCTGATCTCAGTAACTTTTCTTTCCTATGCTGATCGTTTCAGTTTTCATAAATCAAAGGTGGAACCGATCCGACTTGTTGTCGGTACTAATTTCATCTCTGATATATATATTATTTAACTATATCTTTGATATAATTTATATATTATTGATTTTTTGGACTTAATCCTCTAATGAAACTATTATTTTCGTTATAAAATTTTCAGAAACAGAGAACAATACAACTAAATATAAAATAATTCTTAAAATCTTTTCATTAGTAATATAAAGCAGCATATTTCATATACTCGATAATAGAATATAAACTTAAACTACAATTGAATCATTTTAGTTCTTAAAAGAAATTAAATTTCATTAGTCTACGTAAATCAAATTCACAATAATTATTAAATTAATACCTTAACACGTTCAAGAACAAGTCCAGCAGCTACCATACCACAACCAGCAATCATAAATGGAAGAAAAACTTGACTTGCTATAATATACCATTTTTCTTCTTCGTCATCAAATAATGTTAATGGTCCTGTTTTTAAAGTTACAAAATGAGTTTCTATTAAAATAAATATATTGATGATTCTTTTTTTTTTGTTATGATAAAAACTTACGATTAGGAATGAGTGTTTCAATTTCACTATCATTTTGACTTATGCCCGAATCTGAATTATTATCATTTTCATTCACTATATTAGATAATTCAATTGATTCTATTATTATAGAAAACAAAGAAAATAAATATATAAGTTATAAAGAAAAATATTTTTTACCATTTCCTTGTAATGAACTGACAATAGTTTGACCTTTAACTAAAAATAATTGATTATATTGTTTGTCAGTTTCGTCCATCATTCATTAATTAAAAAAAAAAAAAAGCTAAACGAAATTGTCCATCTACTATATTATATGTATGTTGATGAAAATAAAAATGACAACAAGCGCCACAAACAATTAGTTTAAATAAAATTAAAATTTTTAGAAAAAAACATTCAAAAACTATAAATTTTTTTATATAAAATAAAATAAGAAGAAATATTTGTTTTTCTTCGAAATTTATTTTTCATTAGTTCAATTTATTTAACCAATAAAAATCAATTTGTATTGATGATGACGTCTACTCAAACGTAGTTACTTGTTTTCTATCGAAATATGATAACACTTAATAATAATAAACCAGTTTGGGTACGAGATAATGAACATGGATTTGTTATTGGAAAGGTGAATGATATTACTTCTGATAATGTAACTGTTCAATTAAATGATAATAGAAAAGTACGAATAAAAATAAAAATAAAAATACTATTTTTCAATTATTTTTTTTGTTTTTTTTTTTCTAGACACTTGTTGTTCCCTATGATTCAGTATTTGAAGTTGAAGAATATGACAAAGATGTCGATGATAATTGTAAATATATTTAATAATATAATTGATATAAATAAAATTTTATTTATTTTAAGGTGCACTTATGTATCTTAATGAAGCTACTTTATTAAATAATGTTCGTCGTCGTTATAGAAAAGATATGATTTATGTATATATAATAGGAAATTATTTTATATATAATTTTATATATTTCTTTTATATTAATAGACTTATGTAGCTAATATATTAATTGCTATTAATCCATATAAAGAATTACGTGGTGTTTATAGTGTTGATACAATGAAGAAATATAATGGCAAATCACTTGGTGTTATATCACCACATGTATTTGCTATTGGTATGATAAATTTGAATTAGAAAATTAATTTGAGTAATCAAAAAAAAAAATTCTTCAAAAATATTTAAGAAACAAAAAATATATATTTACTTTGGAAAACTTGGTGTGAAATTTATTTTATGATATATAATATGTATATATATATATATATAATCAATGGTTCAGTTTAGTACGAAATATGTAACTTTTGTAGAGTAATAGTCTCTTTTAATTCTTCTTTTGTTTTTCTTTTAGTAGCTAACAAAAAACAGATGTTTATTAATAAATTTGTTTTACTTGGAAATTAGTTACGGTTAACTAAACAAAAATAAGCATTTGCTTAATCTTCTTCTTGATATGCTAATTTGATCGGGATTGCTTGGAAAGTTAAGAAGCAAAATTAAGAATATTAAATCATATTTTACGGATTTGACAACACTTATATTAAAATATGAGACTACACAGTACTGCTTAAGATTAGAGCTAAATATCTCATTCAAATCGAAATGGTGATTTGAGTAGTCAATGAAGTATTCTATCAAATGCATGGTTTATGAGGATACCATAAATCGCCCATGAAAGTAAAGTTTCTAAAGAAAACTTCATGGCCTTCTATATCGCAAAGCTTGAAGAAGGCTAAATTTAGTAAAAAGTCGGTCGAAAGGAGATTCCTCTTATATTTTTAAAGAAGTCTGTAATGCTTTAATGAAAGGTCTTACTACTGTCGTCATTCTATAAAATCTTCATAAATAATACATCTAATAGAGAACTTCATTGACTATTCAAATCACTATTTAGAATTGAATAAGATGCTTAGCATTATAGAAAAAAAACAAGAGGCTTTCTTCCAATTTTTAGCAGTATTGTTATACACTACATGACATTGAAGATGACAAATTCATCACTAATGCTATCAAATAGGATATATGAAAGTTAATTATCAACTCATTGAATACTATTGAATATCTATGAATTTTTTGTAGTCGAAAGATAACAAACATTTCTGTAATTAATTATATATAGAAAAACATCATTACTAGTGAATTTTGAGATTCTTCAGCAAGAAAGTTGACTCATAATTCGTTATCATGATTGATAATCATAACCAAAATATAAAGATCGTCACAACTGAGTGTCTACGTACTTTGACATCTATCCCTAAGGTACCATGTGTAAACAACAGTACCATTATCGATAAAATGACCCCAGGCAAATTACTTCTAAGGACTATTTGTCTTGAATCACTCGTTCGATAGTATGTTGATTACATTGTGACCCCACCTCCTGTTTTGATTAGTTAATGTGTATGAAGAGCACAAGAATTGTTTGTCAGGCCGCCCTTCTCTTTAGAGTTACAGCTAACATTAGTTGTAGGAAAGATATCGTGCTATTGAATTTACTGCAAGGTAAAATTTTTCTTTCTTCTTTCACAATCTAAAATATAAAATTTTATCTTCTCTATGCATCTACTAAAACATATTACACGATCAGCATCTCTTCTGCGTGCGAGTTATACTAACCATATGTGTAGTTACTCACAAATTAGAATTCTATGGAAGACAATTTCTTATAATTTATCTCATTCTTTATGAACTTTTCTCACGAATTGAATTAGATACTACTAAAAACTCGTCATTCTATAGTGAAAATAAAAAAATATTTCATAGTGTCACAATCTTTTAACATTACTTTGGTTGTAGACATATTTCTAAGTAGTATTAATCAATATAATTCATTTTATTCATCTTATGAACGAAAAAAACAAAAATTTAATATTTTATTTTAGGTGATAAATCGTATCGTGATATGCGTACTACCCGACAAAGTCAATCGATTGTTATTTCTGGTGAATCCGGAGCTGGTTTGTAGATAAATTTATTGAATTGATTATACATCAATTTGTTATTTTCTTCGTTCGGATAGGTAAAACAGAATCTGCTAAGTATGTTTTACAATATTTAACTGAATCATATGGTGCTCAAAGTGGTTTAATTGAAGATCGTATTAATAAATGTAAAAAAGTTTTTTGATTTATTTTATTATGATTTGTATGTTTGTATGTGTATTTTAGCTAATCCATTATTAGAAGCATTTGGAAATGGTAAATCAAATTAAATTTTTTTTTCTTTCTCATTAAAATTTAATGTTTTTTTTTTTTCTTTTTTTAGCAAAAACAACTCGTAATAATAATTCAAGTCGTTTTGGTAAATTTATTGAAGTTCATTTTAATGAAAAAGTATTTCATTTATTTTATTTTTGAAAAATCATATAAAAATTCTTTTTTTGTTTTTATTTAGTATCGTGTTGTTGGTGGTTTTATATCTCATTATTTGCTTGAAAAATCTCGTATATGTCTTCAATCAAAAGATGAACGAAATTATCATATATTTTATCGTTTATGTGCTGGTGCACCTGAAAGTATTCGAAGTGCATTAAAACTTGGCCCACCGGATAATTTTCATGTTTGTATTTAAACAAAAAAAGAAAAATAAGATTTTTATTCATTACAATTACTCTTGTTTTCTTTTTTTTTTGTTTTCGTCTAGTATCTTAAACGTGGTTGTACACAATATTTTTGTAATTCTCAAACTGAAAATAAATTATCAAAAAATCGTCTTAGTCAAGATGTAAGTTAAACACTGAAAAGATTAAATTCATAATCATTATCTATTCAATAGATGTCATAACAAATTATCGAATGTGACTATCTATTATGTTTTTTCATATAAATTTTTAAATGAAAAAACTTCGCTTGTTAGACGAGACATATTGGTATGAAAAAAAAAATATATATACAGTCGAATAAACTTTGCCGCTAAAAAAAACATATGAGAAATAATTGTTTTGCTATGATTTTAATTAGACACAATTATGACTAATTATACAGTGTGACTACATTGTTTATTCGTGTTGCTAAGTTACTTTTCACATTTTCTAATGGATTATTATTACACATGATATATTGACTAATTCATAGTTTTTCTTTTGCTCTAATTCATATTTATATCATTGACATATGACGCAAATTGATATGTCATTAAAATATTCTTCATCAATGGTTCCCTATTCGGATTTTTCTAGTCTTATCAAAATTTCTTTGTCAATCTAATATGAGCTCAAACGGTGCGAGTATCATCAGTTAGGTTATGAAAAAAAAAAGCTTATCTTATACATATCTAGTTTAGAATTTCTCATGAACAAGGCACAGACTGGTTTACATCTCTTCTATATTATTGAAGAGAGTTATTAGAAGAAAATTCAATTCTAACTGACTGTTGACTAGTATTTTGTCATATAAACTAGATTTCGTGAAGTATTTATTTCATTCTAAACTAATGAGTTTGTACAAAAATTGAATATTTCAAATAACATAAGATCAATAATTTGATTTTATATTGCTATAAAACAAATTATATGCTAGAAAAATTGATTTGATTAATGAAAATGAACAATGATTTAATATTTTGTTTATTTCTTTTTAGTTTATATCAAAAGGACCATTACGTGATCCACAATTAGATGATATTAATGATTTTATTGAATGTGATCAATCAATGGATCATATGGGTTTATCAACACAAGATAAAATAAATATTTATAGTACAGTTGCAGCTGTACTTCATCTTGGAAATATTAATTTTGAAGATGATCCTGAAAGTACAAAAGGTGGTTGTAAAATAACATCATCAACTGAACAATCATTAGCAATAACAGCTGAAATGTTGGGTCTTAATGTACGTGATCTTCGTAATGCATTAATAACAAGAGTTATAATGACTCGAACAACAAGTAATAATAATGATAGTATAATTCCGTAAGTATTTCATTGTTTTTGTTTTATTCAATTTAAAACAATGTTTTTTTTTTTTTTTTATAAAGTGTTCCATTAAAAGTTCATGAAGCACAAAATGCTCGTGATGCATTAGCTAAAGCAATATATATACGATTATTTGATCAAATTGTTAATTTTGTTAATAAATCAATACCATTTAGTTCATCAAATTCATATATTGGAATTCTTGATATAGCTGGTTTTGAATATTTTCCTGTAAATTCATTTGAACAATTTTGTATTAAGTATGCTAATAAGAAATAATATTGATTACAGAGAAGAGACAAAAATAAAAAAGAAAAGAATTCTTTTTATAGTTATTGTAATGAAAAATTACAACAATTTTTTAATGAACGAATTCTTAAAGAAGAACAAGTATTATATGAAAAAGAAGGTCTTGGTCTAAAAAAAATTCAATTTATTGATAATCAAGATTGTATTGGTATGTTCTATTTCGAATTGTCATTAGAATAAAAAATTTTATTTTCATATTGTTTCTTTTGTTTTTAAATTTAAACAGACATCTGGTAGGCATTACATTTGAGTGCATTTTCTGCATGAACATGTTTTTTTTTCCTTTATTGATGAATCCAAAAAAAAAAAAAAACTTTATTCAAAGACATAAGGCGGAGGCAAAAAAACGTTGAAAAATAAGATTTTTTTTCTTTAAAAGTAACAAAGCGGTGAAAAGATTTGATTCGCTGAAATGATTTCCTATCAGAAAAGGTACTTGTCAAACAGAAAACGGGTTTTAGAAGTTATGACTTCATAGTAGTTTGTCATTCAAATATGTTCATGAAAACTTGATTAGTACTTCTTCTAAAAGGAAATTATTTCAACTAATCAAATACTTTTTTTCCAGTTTGTTATCGTTTAGGAAAAAGCTAAAAATATGATTTTTCTGAACTTTTTATCTGCAGTTTATGTTAATCTTCAGAACATAGACTTCTCATAATTGAATTGCTAAGAAGAAAGTTTATAATTCATGCGAGTACAGTCAAGAAAGATTGTATTTGAATAACTCTTTAATGATCTGAATAATGAATATAATCCATTTTTCTTCGGCACATCACAAGACAATGGATAGGCTTTTTGGTCATTTCGAATGTAGATGTTCGTTTTATTAGAAGGAAAAATTTTGTTTTCATACAAAATTTAAACGTACTTAGTCTAATAATGGAAGTCTTCCAATCGATCCCATTAGTTCCATGGGACGCAATTCTTTTGAAAATATTCCATCCTGTGGGATTTTGTGAGACAAACGTCTTTTATTACGATGTTTTTTTTTTGTTTTTTGAAGAACAATCCTATCGTTTAGAATTAAACGTCTTTCTTGGGGACATATGAACTTGGTTATGATAAAATTATGAAATACAAAATCAATATGATACAAAACTCAGAAACATTAATGAAAATTATTAATGTTATCCTACATGAGAGAAAAATTTTGAAGGATTCCGATCCTATATGAGATAGTTTGCGATACTTCATCACATTCCAACCGAGGCAAAGTTCTACTAGAGAGGTATAAATATTTGGAAAAAACTTCGGACTCATTACTTAACACGGTTATTAGAGACATAAGCCGACGCATTGATGAGTGACTAGAGTTTTTTCAATTACGACACAACGATGGTAGAGAACTTATCAGCAAGTAAATTTCGAAAAAATAATGTTGCACATAGAAATTTCTCAAAAATCATATATCTATCTTTGTGTCGTGACGATAGCGGCTGATATATATTGAATATTTTGCAGTCATTGATGACCGCTAAGTCAATCGGTCTACACCTCTAGTTGCAAACATACTGTATGTTCGAGTTTCGATTTAAAACCTTGGCCCAACAACTAGTCTTAATCAAAATAATTTATTGTGAAAATGTTAGATTGTATCATTGTTCCCATCCTAAGAGATATAGCGATGGTAAAAGTATATCCTTTACATTGCTTAAATACGTGTCGTCAGATTTGATGTTCTTATATCATAATAGGATCAAATCAAAAGATCCAGAAGTTTCATAATAAATTATTTTGGTCAAAACGTGACTCGTAATATCCACAGCAATAAATTAAATGATCCAAACTTTTTTTCTGGAAATTCATAAGTCACTTAGATGTACAAAATGCACATAAAAAGTAGGTTTTTTTTTTGTCCAGACAGCATGATGTTATATTTAGCGTTTTATTCAATATGCATGATAAATGAAAATATTTAGATATTTATTTTTCTATTAAAAAAAGGAAATTAAATGATTTTTAATTTTGACTTTAGAATTAATCGAATCGAAAACAACTGGTTGTTTTGATTTATTAGATGAAGAAAGTAAATTACCAACACCTCGAGCTGAACATTTTACAAGTGAAGTTCACAATCGTAATAAAGGTCATCCAAGACTTGACGTATGAAAAATAATAGGAAAAAGTTTACTTGATTTTTAAAACAATTAATTGAAAATTTAGGTTCCACGAAAATCAAAATTACGTTCTTCACGTGAAATACGTGATGATGAAGGTTTTCTTATTCAACATTTTGCTGGTGCGGTTGTCTATTCAACAGTGAGTTTGTTTTTTTAATGAATTCACGTTGAACTCTTTTTTGTATTATTTTATGAATCTATTTTTAGGCACAATTTATTGAAAAAAATAATGATGCTTTACATGCATCTCTTCTTATTCTTGTTCAAGAATGTAAAAATAGTTTTGTAAAAAGTTTATTTCCAAAATTACCCGAACTTGAACAATCAGCTGGAAAATTAAATTTTATTTCTGTTGGTTCTAAATTTCGTTCACAATTAACTGATCTTATGAATAAATTACGAAGTACGGTAAGTTAAACATACGGTCAAGATTTGTAATTTATATATTAAGAAAATATGATTGATTATGTCTTCTTGTAAAACATTAAACAATGCCAAGTTCATGATTATAGCCTTTGGAAATAAGCAGATTTAGTCAGAAGGAAATAGAAAAATATTTGTATCCTAGCAAAAATCAATGAAATGTCTCCAAAGCTTTATTGATGACTTCAGGGCGTTTCTCACAGGAAAGAAGAGGAAATTGACTAAAAAGCACCGGAAAATTTCATAGAATTTCCGGTGTTGAATATTGCTTTCATATTCCATCGATATCCAGTGTTGTCTAACACTTTTCTACAAGTTTTAAAGTACTCAAGCAGAAGAACGATGGTTTTCGAGCGGTTTACTCTTATCAGATGACTATCTTTTCTGAAATCTAATAAAAACCCAACAACTAAAAATATGGGAATTTCACACGTAATGAATATTCAGCAAATGTTCGAATGATCTAAGTCACTCAACAGATAAAGAGTAAATTGCAGTGTGTGAATATTGTGAAAAAGTTTTCTCTTGACTTGTATATAGTCTCTGTTAGAATGTTAGCGTCATCCCATACAATAAAGAGTATGTCTTGATAGTCAAAATTTTCTAAAGTACTTTTCGATCTTTCTATGGGCAATCGTTCGTGTGTATTTACTTGGAATTAAATTGGTTCTATGGAGATGAATCGAAAAGTTCGATGAAGAGCATATGTACATGCCAAGAAGTTGACAACTCGAAGTTGAAACGATGTCTAAAATGAAAAATTTTATTATGAGGCTAACAATTAGAAACAGTTTGTCTGTACGACGACATTATGTAGTTTCAGATTCTGCGAAGATGATCAAAATATATTATATGGTGATGATCTTGTTTCGCAATAATTGCTTGTGAAAGTTGTTCTGATGTACATGCTTTATTTTGTTTTTATATATAAAAAAAGAATGAACTAAGGTTTGCGAAGTTTTTATAATTAATATCAACTCTGATTCCAGAAAGAAGCGATTCACTTGGAATTCGGAGTTTCATGAAGAGTTCTGCTAATATCAATAATCAGTTTTGTTGATGACACGTCTCCAATCGTGGAAACTTGTCCTCCAATGTTGACTGTTCTGAGTCCGTATTGATTCAAAATAGTATCTATCTATCGGCTGACAAAATGAAGAATTAATCGTTATTTTCCGATTTCAATTATTTTTTTTGCCTATCGGCACTAAATGATGTTTTAATAAAAATCTAAATCTCTCTACGGTTTTTATTAGAACACTATGTAGTATCTATAAGGAAAAAGTTATTGAAACCAGAAGTGAACATCTGAAGAAGTTCTTACATAAGCAACATTGTTTTATGTCTTATATTTCAATATAGGGAATTAGTTTTATTCGTTGTATTAAACCTAATCTGAAAATGGTGCCAAATTTATTCGAAGGTGGTCAAATTTTAAGTCAATTGCAATGTAGCGGTATGCAAAAAAGAAAATCCTTATTTGATTAAAAATCTTTGTTCTATTTTTTTTACTGATTAGGTATGGTATCAGTATTAGCTTTAATGCAACAAGGTTTTCCATCACGTACACAATTTGCTGAATTATATTCAATGTATAAATCCTATTTACCAGTTGAATTAGCTCGACTTGAACCACGTCTTTTTTGTAAAGCTTTATTTAAAGCATTAAATCTTCGTGATGCAGATTTTAAATTTGGTATAACGAAAGTATTTTTTCGTCCGGGAAAATTTGCTGAATTCGATCAACTTATGAAATCTGATCCACAAAATTTAGCTATGTTAATATCAAAAGTTAAAAAATGGCTAATATGGACACGATGGAAAACAGCACAATGGTGTGCTTTATCAGTTATTAAACGTAAATTTTACAAAAAAAAAAAACTAGCCGAAATTATTCAATTAGTTTAATCGATTGATTTTAGTTAAAAATAAAATTCTTTATCGACGTAAATGTTTAATTGATATTCAACGACATGTTCGTATGTTCTTAGTTTATAGGCGTTATGCACCAAGGTAAGAATTATAAAATATGTTAAATATGTTTATAAAGTTTTCTTTCATAGAATTCGAGGCTTAGTTAAATCTAAAGCATTACATGAACAAGTAGCTTCCATGGAAAAAATTGCTGCTCAAATGAAAGCAAACAAAGAACAAATATATAAACAAATACATCAATTAAAAGAACGTGTTGATCAATTAATCCATCAAATTTCAGTAAGATTTATGAAATAAAAACTAAAAGAAATACATGTAATAGAATTCAAAAATGGATAATCATATATCTATTTTCATTGTTAATGAAAATTTCTTACGTATATTAAATGTCATATTGTGAGAAAAAAGATATTACAGGGAAATCTTTCTATGTAAATACTTTATACTAGACAATCTATTGAACGGCCAAGCAAAAAATTGCTAAGAAAAAGTTTTTCAAAGATGAACACTTACTAATTTTGAGTCAATCGGTACTTATTTTTAGTTCCATGAGCAATAACAATCTCTGTAGTGTACGCAACATACGTTCTATTATTCACATAGAGAACGAGGAAGAAAATAATGTTATTATAAACATGAATATTAAAGAGTTAGACTCAACATTAAAATAAAAACATATATAATCAGCAATCTTTATACCTTGTATGAAATAGATTGTGTTATCTATTTATTTTTCGTCATGAAGACGATCAATTTAACTTGCGAGGAACTCTGTCCAGATGTCGAATTTCCTTTTTTTGGTCGAGACAATGTTAATTTGATGAGTGCTAGTGAGTGTTAGAAAAATTTAGTATGATTCGGTTTTGTCGAAGTTTTATTTTCGAAATATCGAAATTCTACTAGGCCTTTCAACCAAAAGCGATGATTCTCCATAGATCACGTGAAGAATTGTCTTTCGAATTTCTTGAGTAGGACCTCAGCTTAAATCGAGAAAAATTTTCGATATTGGAAGAATGAATGTCTGGATAACCAAACGATTGTAGACTTTTCTATTACTTGCTAGTACTCATCAAATAAATATCGTCTTGGTCGAAAAGTAATTTGACATTTGGAATGATTGATAGACTCACTGCCTTTTGCTTGATTGCATACGATGCTACAATTTTTTCGATTAGAACCTAGACAATATACATTGGTCATAGTAATAATGTCCTTATTAAGTACCTTCTATTATCAAAACTTTTACATAGCTTAAAGAGCGAGATATAATCCTCTACAAGTTGAACTAAAAATGAAAAGTCTCGCAGCAATACTTTAGAATTCATTTTTTTCGAAACTTATTCTTTTTCTTTTTTACATTCTATGTAGAATACTCATATGACGGCAACACAAATTGATGATGCATATAATGATCTTGTTTCTTCTATTGATCGTGAATTGCGTCGATTAAAACAAGCACTTGCCGAACAAGAAATGAAAGATGAACAAGAACGTTTAAAAAGGATTCAAGTAAAAACTTTGACATGTCTATATTCGATAACAAAAATAGAAAATGAAATGCATATTAATTAATATTTAGAGTGGACTTGAACATGAAAAACATAAAAAACTTGATGAAGATAAACGTTCTGAACAAGAAAAAGAAGAATTTCGACAGTAAAAATTTAATAAGGGTGTAAGTTTTTGTTATATTTCTTTGTTTTGTTACTTATAGACGTTCAGCTATTGCGCAACGGCAAAGAGAAGAAGAACAATTGAAGCGTGGACTAACTGCTGAAGAAGCTCGACGTCAAGTACGAAAAAAAAAAAAATTTTGATTTATAAAAATTAGTAATAATCGTTTTTTTTTTTTTTTGTATTTCAGAAAGAACGTCAAGAAGAAGAATCTGCTGCAGAAGCTTTTTTTGCAGAAATGAATGAACGTGAACGTCGTGATTATGATTTAGCACGACGTCTTGCTTTAGAAACTGGTAGTGAAGCTGAGTTACCGCATTTACAAAGATCACGTCGTCCACCTTTTAATCCAAAATATGATTTAAGTAAACATACATATGCACAATTACGTGATCTTATTAATACATCTTGTGGTAAGAATTTTCCACATAAAATTTTAATTTAATTTATTTATCAATATTTTTAGATATTGAATTACTTGATGCATGTCGTGAAGAATTTCATCGACGTTTAAAAGTTTATCATGCATGGAAATTAAAAAATCGAAAAGGAAAAAATCCATCAGCAGTCGATAATAAAAATGATGATATGGATCAAGAACGAGCACCAAAAGATATTCTTAATAATGGTAAAATATTCAATGATAATTCACAGAAGATTTAATCTATTGAACTATATGTTCGATTTCGATTAGAAAATTTCATAAGAAGTATAAATGTACGACACGACTGTATTCGAAAATTTTCGACTTAACAATCTCTAGTGTTTTTCTCATATAAAAAATTCTATTTGAAAATTTATCGGTTGTAGATAACGGTGTGGTATTTTTTTTTTTAATCAATTGTTGAAAATCTAATATTTTATTATGAGTAAAAATATTTTCATTGATAGATGGAGTGCCCAAAAGAAGTGGACAAGTGGCAGCAGCAAGTGCAAATTCTAAAACCGGTGGTAGTGGTAAAGCGTCTGAACAACGTTATTTTCGTATTCCATTTATTCGTCCTAATGAACAAAATCGTGATAGTAGTAGTGAACATAAAAAGAAAGGCTGGTGGTATGCTCATTTCGATGGTAAAATACAATAGAATTTATATTTTGTATTTATTTAACATAAACTCTATTTAGATAAATGGATTGCTCGTCAAATGGAAATTCATCCAAATAAAAAACCAGTTTTACTTGTTGCAGGTTATTTGATTTTATGGATTTGTTTTTTAATATATGTATATATATATCAATCAAATAAATATTTGTTTTATAGGTGTTGATGATATGAATATGTGTGAATTAAGTTTAGATGAAACGGGTTTAACGTCAAAAAAAGGTGCTGAAATACTTGAACATGATTTTGAACAAGAATGGCTTAAACATGGTGGTCGAGAATATTTAAAGAAAAACAAAGGACAAATCAGTTCAAAATATGTTATTCAATTACTTCAAAAACATCATTAAATAATATATCCGATTATATATGCAGTAGACATCGATTTTTATTTGTGCTAAAAATTAATTTTCTCTTTTAATGTCCGATTCTCATTGTGATGATCTTTCTTTTTGTTTTCTTTTTTTATATTAATTCCAGAGAATGGAAAGAAAATCTCTTTCGGTTTCGTAGTTTCATTTTAATTTATTTAATCTTTTTAGTTCTATTTCATACAAATAAATTAACAAATTTATTTTATTTCAGATGTATTAATCTAGAAATAATCATAAAACAGCTATGGGTGGAATGAAATTTGAAGTTAGTAAAATTCTATCTATGTTAAATTGTTGTTTTGTTTTGATTTTTTTTTTTAAATTTTCATTTATATTTATTTTTTTAAGTACGATGAAAGTGGAGGGAAGTTTTACTATTTTATTCTCTCTGTTTATGCATTAATTCTTATACCGGCGACATATTGGTTATGGCCTAAGGCAGAAAAAAGAAGTAAATATGAAAAAGAAACAATGAATTCTTTTTTGTTATGTATGGTATTATTTATAGAAAGTGCCCCACATCCTGAAGATACGTCTAATTTTACTCCATGTCGTCATAAACATCAATTATTACATGCAAATGAACCTAATCGAAGACGACGAGCAATAATAACGTAAGTAATTAATTCATATAGAATACGAAAACTTATTTTGAAATTTTTCTAATACTGATGGGATTAATATATTGTTACAAAGTTAGTGTACATTTTATTTACTACTAACTCGTATCTACTAAGTATAGGGAAGTAAGTTTTAATAGAAACATCTTAGAAATCTGCAGCTTTTATCATTCAAGAGAGAAGATTCAAGACCATCGACGGATAATGAACAGCGATTGGCTAACCAAATGAGTTCTTGTTGGAAATTTTCGAAAATATTCTTCTCTTTCAGTCAATACAAGACTACCACTCTTTGCTTGTTTCGTTCGAAAGTTAAAAGATATTTTTTATGATCTTCGGTTTCAACCAATTGATCTGTAGTTACTCGGAAAAGCAATTGGACATAAATAATTCACTATGTTGAGCTAAACGGTGAATTACTCCTGTCTAGTTACGTTTCGTGAAGACCATCTCTCGAATAGAACTAATTAGAAATGTCGGCTTTGTGTAGATCGAAAGAAAACTAGCTTCAGAATATCGTTTTAGAAAATCTCTGCTAAGACTTCACTGGATTGCTGCTCATCAATCAAATTTCTATATACATCTATGGCGTTGCGTTTTCTCTTGTGAATGGTAAAAATTACAGATCTCTATAATATTCTTTTCTAAATATTCATGCTGTCTTTTTTGTCGAGTTCTATCGTTTCGATACACATGACTTCCTTGTCTTTTTTTTTCATGAAGACAGTTTTCTCCTTTCATTCATTTATGATCATAATATTAGTAAATAAAAATACTGAACAGGTCACGACAGGTACTGTCAAACTGAAAATGTATATTGATAGACTAGATCTACTTTTCAATAGCGTGTTTTAAACCTTTGATTTACATATTCTTTTTGACTAATAATTATATATATATAAAACTATTGTTCTATTTCTATTATAGCAAAATTGGTTTAATCTTAGCATGGATTATTTTATTAGTACTTGCTTATCGTGTATCATTAATTGAAATCGAACATAAAGAATATGATCCATTTGCAGTATTGGATGTTGATCGAGTATGTACTTGTTTTTAATTCATGTTGATAGTGAATAAATAAAAACTAATTTATTTTAGGAAGCAACAATCAGTGAAATAAAACGAGCCTATCGTGATTTAAGTAAAAAACATCATCCAGATCGTGGTGGAGATCCAGAAAAATTTGTAAGTTAAACTAACAAATGAAATATAAAGAATCGGAGTAAATGTAAATGTAATTTTTCCTTGTATCTAAAGAGGCTTCGATCTTGATAAAAAAAATTGGTCTCATTCCCGCTGCGACTAACCCGCCCATATCTCGAACATTCAATTTACCTCTGTTTGTTGGTTGCTTAGAAATTCTTCGTCCATTGATCGATATAAGTGATTATTTTATATGAATAGTAAATGATTTAAAAGTTCATTTATAATTCGTCCGATTCATTATGATCTACTGATTATTAAGAATAAATTATGAAGAGAAAAAAAGAAAATAAATCGTTTTTGTTTTTAGAAAGAAATAGCTAAAGCATATAAAACATTAACTGATGAAGAAGCAAAAGAAAATTGGAAAAAATATGGAAATCCTGATGGACCAGGAGGTTTGTTTTATTGTTTTTAATAAATTATTATTTATGAAATATTTCTTAAATATTTAGTAACACATTTTGGTATTGCTTTACCAAAATGGTTAGTTGATCATCAAAATTCTATATTTGTTCTTTTGGTTTATGCTGGTATATTTATGATTGTTCTTCCTGTTATTGTTGTATGTTAATAATAATCAGAAAGAAAAAATTTTCTCATTAATTATTATTTTGTAATTTTAATTTGAAGTGCATTTGGTGGCAAAAATCTGCTCGTTATTCAGGTGATCAAATATTAACCGATACAATTCAACTTTATTGGATATTTTTAAGTAAAACATCATCAATAATTATTAAACGTAAGTTAATCGAATTGCAATAGTTGAATGAAATTTCAATGTACCCATGTTCAAATCTATCTAACGGTATACAATGATGATTTCGTTTTCATTATATCTGTCAATCCTCTGAACAAGAAAAAAAAATTCTTTTGATGTATATGAAACTCTGAGTATACCGCAAAATGAAATATTTATTGAAATAATAAAAAAGAAATAAGTCGTATTGAATTGATCTTGTTTTTTTGTTTTTCAAGGTGCAATTATGATTCTTAGTGCATCAAGAGAATTTGATCGAAATCGTAATCCACTTATTGTTGATCGATTAAGTGATAATGTTGAATTACCAAAAGTTTGTATTACTTGTTTAAAGATGATCAATATGTAGAATTAATTTATTATTTAGTTATTTCGAGAATTACCTGATGTACAAGAAAAAACAAAAGAAAGACCATTTCAATTACCATATTGTTTAAAAGCACGTACACTTCTTCATGCACATCTTCAACGACTTAATACATTAAGTGATAATCTTGAAAGTGGTATGTGTAACTTTCATTGAAAGTATTTTTTTTGTTAGTTTCTTTTTTCAAATTATTAGATAAACGATATATTGTTAAAAAATCACCATATTTAATTAATGAAATGATTAATATTGAAGCTCAACTTGTTGCTATGGGACATGCTGGAAGATGTAAGAAGTTTTTGATTTGAAAAAAAAAATATTTTTTTTTTAATTTTAAGTGAGAAATGCTCCACGTCTTGATACAATTGAAAATACAATGAAATTATCACCAATGATTATACAAGCATTATGGCATACGAAAAGTCCTTTACTTCAATTGCCACATATTACTGAAAGTCAATTAAGATTTTTTGAAACAAAAAAAGTATGAAAATAAAGATGTATGAGTCTATGTGAAAGAGAAGATTGGAAATACGAGAAAAAAAATTGTCTTAACTAAAACTAAAGAATATAGTAAAATATTCGATGATTTAATAAATCATATGAAAGAGACTAACATTCAAGAGAAATGATCCAAAAAAGTGCTGCTCGTTAACTAAATCAAGAAACGAATATGGAGAATTTTTTTTTAGATGTAACACAAATAAATTTTGCAATAATTTTCCATAGACCGAGACTGGTGAGAAATCCTATGAAGATATGTAGGACGAGGTAAAAGTTAGAAAATTTTTCTTACGAGAGAACCTCTCCAAGTGTTAATCGCCGAACGAGCTCATATTTTGCTCATAAGTAAGACTTAATGAGACTAGCAGTAGCTTGAAAGGATTCGTTCCCATACGCTGTTATTTTGGAGTTACAACCGTTCTACTGGTTTTTCGACCTTTGGCAATGGCATTTTTAGAAAAGGCCAACAATGGAATTTTGACCTGAAATTTTGTCCATAAACAGGTCTCATGGTCATTAGAATGTCTTAAAAGTTTCAGCTAAAATGAACGTTTCTTTCTCCAAATATTGAATTTTCAAAGAACGATCATATTTCAAAGGCAAAGGTCAAAAATCGAGCTTCTTGGAAACTCAATATCTTGAGAAAGAAACGTTCATTTTAGCTGAAACTTTTAAGACATTCTAGTGACCATGAGACCTGTTTATGGACAAAATTTCAGGTCAAAATTCCATTGTTGGCCTTTCCTATAAATGCCAGTGCCAGAGGTCGAAAAACCAGTAAAACGGTTGTAACTCCGAAAGGATAGCATATGGGTAAGAATCCTTCGGAGCTTCTGCTAGTCTCATCGAGTCTTACTTATGAGCAAAATATGAGCTCGATCGGCGATTAATACTTGGAGAGGTTCCCTCGTTAGACAGATTGCTAAAAGAAAGTTTGTCCCACACATTTATACTATCCTGACAATAAATAAAACTAATTGTTGTTTTTATTTCATGCTTTGATTAAGCAGTAGTGCTACTTGGATTAAATTTTAAATAAATTCTAAAGAAATGAAGTAGACTATAGATTAATAAATCCTAGGCGAAAAAAAAAACAATAGACTTCATGTTATCTCTCTTAATTAGGTTAGATATATTTAATGAATCAATTAAGTCGTAATTACTTTCGAAATATTCTATTTTTATTATGGAATAGATTTAAGTGTGTATGAAGAACTCAAGAACTCCGCCTTAGCCAGGCCATATATCCATCCTATTGCTTACTATAAACATGAAATTTTTGTTTTTTTTTCCAGCGAACAATTAAATCAGTACGACAATTTGCAGCTATGAATGATGAAGAACGTCGTTCTATGTTACGTAGTATTACAGATGAACAGTATGATGATATCATGAATGTTCTTTCTATTTATCCGCATTTAACAATGAGTGTATCATGTGGAGGTATTCATTTTATTCAAGATGAAATATACAACATTCCTATTCGTAATTTTTTTTTTTTGTTGTTATTGTCTAGTAT